ATTTAGAACTTTTGTGGTGGTATTGATTTCAGTGTCAATAAAGTTAATTCATTATATATTGAAGGTGTTATGGTTGTAATTATATTCAGATATATTTCCAAACTAGTGAATTAAGCTGAATGAGGTGAGGTAATTATGAGGAGGGGGATATTATACTTTGTGAGTATGATTACATGACACAGGGAGGGGATATGAGAGCAGGATAGGAGCTGGGGTATGAGGACAGAGTGAAGAATCGTTGATGAGATTAATCTCTTCTGTTCTTGTGAGATTAATCTCTCCTGTTCTTGTCTCGCTAAAGTAGTGTATTTATTTTGTTTTTATTTTTCTGTATCGAGTTGCATGATATATGATAAAGCTTCCGAAGGAAGATGTACTTATTCAATATAATGTTAATATATTTTGACAAGATTGAAGTAGGGGAATTTACTTATTTTTTTTTATATAATGTCAAGCTGAAAACTAAGCACGGGGAGCTCAGTCAGTTTTTTAATACAATGATTTCGCAGAGCTCATTTTCCTTCAGATATTCTGAATGTCCCCGAGCAGTAAAATGAAGAGTGGAAGGTCTATAAGACTGGAGAAGGTGGGCAGGAGGAGGAGGAGAGGTGAGCATGGGGCCCGCAGTAGCAGGAGATAACGGGTCTGGAGCCGCTGATGTAGGCGTGTCCGGCCACTGGGGCACGACGCGGTAAACAAATATCAGTTGGTCCTCCAAAGAGGTATACCCTGTTTCTCGGTGCACATACCCTGGGAGTTTACTTTAGTCCTGGACCAACCGGGCTATGTTGGATATGTGGGCCTGTGGGCCGCTCCAAGCAACAGCCTGTTAGACCAAGCTCTCACAGGTCAAGCCTATGGTCCCGGGCCGGGCTTGGGGAGTAGAAGAACTCCCAGAACCCTATCAAGCAGGTAAGCGTCTGTTGAAAAGCTCATCAGTATTTCGACGGTAAACATTGAGACGACAGCAGTCTCAATGTTTACAGTTTCGGGCAATGATTTGTTGTGGTTTCATCTTTTACCAGGGAATCATTGGCAGCTCTCTCACGTGTGTTGTGTTTACTAAACACACGTTGCGTGCCTGAAACTGGGGTGCACCTTAGCTGATGGTCATCATGAGGAGGCCCTGTTTACTGCAGCAGCAGTAATGATAGTAGTAGTAGTAACAGAGGTAGATGAAGCAACAGCAGTAGTAGAAACAATGGCAGTAGCATGAGCAGCAGCAGTAGTAGAAACAATGGCAGTAGCATGAGCAGCAGCAGTAGTAGAAACAATGGCAGTAGCATGAGCAGCAGCAGTAGTAGTAGCAGTAGCAACAAGGGCAACAGCAGCAGCAGTATTAGAGGTAGCAAAAGCAATAGCAGCAGCAGCAGCAGAAGCAGCAGTAGCAGCAACAGCAGCAGTAGCAGCAACAGTAGTAGCAGCAGCAACAGCAGCAGCAGCAGTAGTAGCAGCAGCAGCAGCAGCAGTAGCAGCTGCAGCAGCAGCAGTTGCAGCAGCAACAGCAGTAGCAGCAGCAGCAGCAGTAGCAGCAGCAGCAGCAGTAGCAGCAGCAGCAGCAGTAGCAGCTGCAGCAGCAGCAGCAGCAGCAGTTGCAGCAGCAACAGCAGTAGCAGCAGCAGCAGCAGCAGCAGCAACAGCAGCAGTAGCAGCAGCAGCAGTAGCAGCAGCAACAGCAGCAGCAGCAGCAGTAGCAGCAGCAGCAGCAACAGCAGCAGCAGCAGCAGCAGCAGCAGTAGCAGCAGCAGCAGCAGCAGCAGCAGCAGTAGCAGCAGCAGCAGCAGCAGCAGCAGCAGCAGTAGTAGCAGCAACAGCAGTAGCAGCAGCAGCAACAGCAGCAGTAGCAGCAGTAGTAATAACAACAAAATCAACACAGGACCATTTGCATATCTTGACCACATTCCCACGTGTATTCCCAATATAACAGCTAATTTCGCCTCTTTTATAAGCTGAGCGCACCTTAGAACAACAGTATTTGACAATGACAGTTCGGAGACGGCGGTCGGTGACCTGAACATAGGTATAGAGACAGGAAGTTAAAACACGTTGCTTAGAATCTTAGTTTAGTTTCTAAGAATCAAGAACGAGAATCTGAAGTATTTAAAAGATTGGAAACCGAGTCCGGAAATGCTTTGGATCAACAGACAAATCATTGCATCACATACAATGTAACTTGCACTTGAACCGGAGGTCTATCAGAGTTCAGCAGTCAATGTGGATGTTCTTTGACTCTACATATAGCCCTCAGTCACTTACTGGGTTGTGTAGAGTAAGTGACCAACGACCACATGCGATGTGTGGAGTTTGGGTGACTGGGGAGTTTGCATGGGGAGAGCATCGGGGGATTGAGCCCTAGATTAATGCCCTCTATCAGTCCTGGGTACCGATTGTAGGCATCTCTGTGAAGGTCTAGATGCTTGCTGGCATCCTCTTGCCCCACAATTGTGTACTTTCTCTATGTTTATTGATTTTATAAAACCTCTGGAAGGGAATGCAGAATTCATGCCTTTAGGTAGCATTTTTCTCAATCTCTTGTCCTCCACTCCCTTTCTCTTTCCTTATCTGCCTCTTCCCCTTCTTTTCTCTATTTTCTATATTTCTTCCTTACCATTATCCTGGTAAACTATTTGCAAAGTCTTGCATGTGAGGTGCTAATTCACTAGCAAATGTTAGTTGCACAGACATTTTTTTTTTATATTATGTGCTCTCTCAGGCTTGGTGTGTCCATGTGTGTGTGTGTGTGTGTGTGTGTGTGTGTGTGTGTGTGTGTGTGTGTGTGTGTGTGTGTGTGTGTGTGTGTGTGTGTGTGTGTGTGTGTGTGTGTTTGTGCATCATGATTGTATACAGTACATGTGCCCTATTTACATACGCTCCAATGTGTCGTGTACGTGAGTCATGAATCATTAATTCACATCAGTCAAAATCTGAGGCAGAGGGTGAGTCACACCAGTGAGATGAATGAAGACTTGTTTCAGCAGCATCAACGACTGCTGAATTACTTGCAGCAGAGAGAGAGTGTCAGCAACAACAGTAAGAGTGCAACAACAGCATCCCATCCTGACCCCATAACAGCAGTTACAGAACAGCAGAAACAGCAACATAACATCAAGGGACAACTACATAACAGTAGCAGCTACATAATAGCAATAGCAGCCAAAAAAAAAACAACAGCAATATTTACAGAACAACAACATACGCTCCAGAACAACTATATATCATCAATTGCTACATAACAGAAATAACATTTACACAAAAGCATTCCAATGCTATGTAACAGCAACATCAAAGTATTGGAACTGCTGCATAACAGCATAAACAACAAGGAATCAGCAGTAACCGTTGTTAATTAAAATGCAACGCTTGTACTCACAGATGAACGCCTCTAATTGCTTCCACCTTTAGGCCATACAGCAGCAACGCCACTGATTGGCCAGAGTGGACTGTCACGTGACCATTGACGTAGTCTGGGTGGAACCTATAAAAAGAAGTGACATAGAGGAGACAACCTCAGTTGGAAGGTATCCTCGGACCAGTCACCATGGTCGGGTCCTGGATGGTGAGTCAGGCTCTGTTTTCTGGTCCTGGGAGGTAAGTCAGACTCTGTTTTCTGATCCTGGGAAGGTAAGTCAGACTCTGTTTTCTGGTCCTGGATGGTGAGTCAGGCTCTGTTTTCTGACCCTGGAAGGTGAGTCAGGCTCTGTTTTCTGACCCTGGATGGTGAGTCAGGCTCTGTTTTCTGGCCCTGGATGGTGAGTCAGGCTCTGTTTTCTGATCCTGGAAGGTAAGTCAGACTCTGTTTTCTGACCCTGGATGGTGAGTCAGGCTCTGTTTTCTGACCCTGGAAGGTGAGTCAGGCTCTGTTTTCTGACCCTGGATGGTGAGTCAGGCTCTGTTTTCTGGCCCTGGAAGGTAAGTCAGACTCTGTTTTCTGGCCCTGGAAGGTAAGTCAGACTCTGTTTTCTGGTCCTGGAAGGTAAGTCAGACTCTGTTTTCTGGTCCTGGATGGTGAGTCAGGCTCTGTTTTCTGACCCTGGAAGGTGAGTCAGGCTCTGTTTTCTGGCCCTGGATGGTGAGTCAGGCTCTGTTTTCTGGTCCTGGATGGTGAGTCAGACTCTGTTTTCTGGCCCTGGATGGTGAGTCAGGCTCTGTTTTCTGACCCTGGAAGGTGAGTCAGGTTTCTTACCTTCAAGCCAGCCATGATTTTTCCATATATATATATATATATAAATATATATATATATATATATATATATATATATATATATATATATATATATATATATATATATATATATATATATATATATATATATATATATATTGATGAATGTGTTAATGAACTCGTCAATATCCGGCTTGCAGATGTGGCTGGTGGTAGCTGTGATGTTGCTGGCTCCGCATCCGGCTCGCTCATTCTTCTTCAAGAGCCTCTTCTATCCCAGGCAGGAATACCTCTCAAGACACGAGTATCCGGCAAGTATTCCCTGCGTCGACACCTATTGTGTAGCTCGTGTTTATTATTGGGTTTATTATCTCTTTTTATGTGTATTATAATTTTGATGTTTTAAGGATTTCTGTCTAATGATAGTTATCATTTAACAAACGTAATAATTCGTTTAATCGGAGACAGGTGACAGGAGACACCTGTATATAAGTCCTATAGTATATTAGTCCTATATATATTAGTCCTATTAGTCCTATACTGAGGTCCCTCCCTCAACGACTAACTACTAACTCTTCCCAGAATGCAATCCCACAACAGTTGCCTAACTCCCGGGTACCTATTTTCCGTTAGGTGAACATTAGATGGCATTAGATGAAAGAAAACGTGACCAACCATTTCTACCGAGGCCCTATTTGCATGTTAAGTGAGAGAGAGAGAGAGAGAGAGAGAGAGAGAGAGAGAGAGAGAGAGAGAGAGAGAGAGAGAGAGAGAGAGAGAGAGAGAGAGAGAGAGAAAGAGAGAGAGAGAGATGTGAAAGCAGACATACAGACACACATAAGATGGTGGACCAGTATTTACAACTCGTAAAACACACACATCATGCAATAACACCTTACACATACTTATATAATTACTTGACTCTTTTGAATAAGACCATCCTCATTAACGACCAAAAAAGTCACGTCATTAAGCAATGTCACTAGAGCGTGTTGTTTATGTCCTCAACAGCACCCTCTCGCCCACATGTTACCCCGAGACTTCCCGGAGCTGTGGAATGGACACGATGAGGAAGGCTTCTCTAGGTGAGCTTCAATCTCATGTCCTGATCCCTACTCAGTGCTATATAGTCGTAATGGCTTGGCGCTTTCCCCCCTCATAGTTCACTTCCTCTTACATTAAATTGTGTGAGGCTCGTCCCTCTCTTTACCTTCAGAAAGGCGTCAAACTCTACCCTTCTTTACCTTTAGAAAAGGCGTCAAACTCTACCCTTCTTTACCTTCAGAAAGGCGTCAAACTCTACCCTTCTTTACCTTCAGAAATGCATCAAACTCTACCCTTCTTTACCTTCAGAAATGCATCAAACTCTACCCTTCTTTACCTTCAGAAATGCATCAAACTCTACCCTTCTTTATCTTCAGAAATGCATCAAGTTCTACCTTCCTTTACCTTCAGAAATGCATCAAGTTCTACCTTCCTTAACCTTCAGAAATGCATCAAGCTCTCTTCTTCTTAACACATAATAGCGTCTCACACTCTCCCCTTCTTTACTATTTAAAAATTTTCCATCACTTTCCTGAACGAAGACCCTCGCATTCCGGCCCACCCCTCGGTAAGGACAACTGGTACCTTCCTGGACTGTTCTTCTTCCTTCACTTCTAGCTATATTTTCATCCTGCCTCTTAGGTTAACAGTATTTATAATTTACTAAATTTGTAACGTGAAATAAGCACGATTTTGTGTCATGATATAAGTCATTTATTGTCCAGTATAAAGTTTAATGTTGTAACATCTACAGAATATTCTATTCAAACCGTTCTTACTTAGGCCAATGTATTAAACAGTTAAAGTACTTAATACAAGCGTAACTTCGTTAAAAGCCGCTGTTACATTCTATGTAAAGTATTGTATTTTAATTTTTTGTTCTCAAAATTCTAAATACAGTCAATCAAAATCGTAGTCAGTTCCACTTAAGATATTTTCATACACTGTTGTATGCCGAATACCTCCATCCACTGCATGTATTTTGTATTATCTAATGCACTTGGAAAACTGTATTTCATCATAACTGTTAGTATTTAGTACTTTTTCGTGTAATATTAGTATACTGTATTCTCCTATACACTCTTGGTATGCTGTATTCTATTATACACTCTTGATATACTATATGGTCTCAAGAAATGCTGGTATACTCTATTGTTCCCATGCCAACACTGATTTTATGTTAATGTTTATAACACTAGTGTTCTTCACTGCTTCTCTGCAGGAACGGTCGTGACCTCAGCCACTTGGGGTCAAAGTTCGAGCACGCCCAGGCCAAGTGACCTTTCTATCGTGACCTCGCAGCTCCACGAGCTCGAAGGGTGAGTATAATTTAAGACTTTGTCCTCGTTGAAAATTCCACTATTCAGAGATTCTATTGTTGACCAGACCACACACTAGAAGTTGAAGGGACGACGACGTTTCGGTCCGTCCTGGACCATTCTCAAGTCGATTGTGATGAGGACAGGTAGGGACAGGCAATAAATAGGCAAGAGAGAGCTGAGGAGGAAAGTAAGGTGTAGGGGATAGTAGATCTACCCCAGAGATTCTATTCCTCTGCGGTTGAGTTAATTGATGGTGGATGAGTGAGTCTTTCCTAAAAGCATCGCATTAGTGAGAGGAATTGATCAATATAAAGAGGAATTGATCAATATAAATACCGTGAGGGTAAATACTGAACATTTAATCATTATGTTCAGGAATGTTCCGAGCTGTTGAACATAACTGTGATATATATATATATATATTAGGTAAAGTGCTCCCAAATTCTTCCACATTTCCTTCCGAGAGAACAATATCCTTGACTCTAATTTGGCAAAGCTGGATTTATTTAAATAGAAGAATTATTACTCAAGACATTTACTATTTGTTGATATACAAATTATTTGTATTTGAAGTTCATGATTGTTATATATAAAATTCATTAAAACATCTTTATTCTGTCATTATTGGTTAGCACTTTACGTACCAAAGGTGTGAATGTCAACAGATATGATCTGTAATTTAATAACCTGTCCCATATAATATGAATACATATATGTCTTAAATGTTTTTTGCAATACACTTTTAGTTTCTTTAAGAGCATACACAAGACGACTGCATTAAAAGAGATGCTTTGCTCATACTACCTGACTACAGAATTAAGTTTACGTATCTTCTTCAAATTGCAGATGAGCGTGAGAGTGTGGACCAGCGGTGCCGACTACTAGTCCACGATTGGATTTAGAACCCTCCAAACACACACCGAAACTACGACGTTGGTACAACGTTCGAACAAGTTTTAACACCTCCTAACCAGTTATAACAACCAATATAGCAAGTTGTAACAACGTTCTAATACGTCATAAACACGTTAAGCCAAGATGTAACAACTTTATTACAAGTTGTAACAAGCGGAAAATAGAGACAGTTTCGGTTTGTGTTTCCAGGGAAGATGGTAACGTTCCAGGGGAAATACACCTTATGCAGGCGATGAGTCACAATAACGTGGGTAAAGTATGTTGACCAGACCCCACACTAGAAGGTGAAGGGACGACGACGTTTCGGTCCGTCCTGGACCATGCTCATCGACTTGAGAAGGGTCCAGGACGGACCGAAACGTCGTCGTCCCTTGACTTTCTAGTGTGTGGTTTGGTCAACATACTTCAGCTACGTTATTGTGACTCATCGCCTGCAGCAATAATTTGTTTGGTTCATCGAAGCCCCTAAGGCCAAAGACTGACCCTTTCCAGAATGCGCCCTTAGGGAGCGGGCAGGACATCAAAGATAGGTTCTTAGAACCATCCACGGCCAAGATATCAGTTCAAGTCCTCAAGACCATTCTACGACGCCACTTCAGAGCATCACGCCAAGGTCTGGCGGCCCTGGAATGGGGCTTATGAACAGTGTCTAAAGTCCCTCAACGTTCATCTTCTCATAATACAGTTTTGAGATACAGAACTGATGTCTCGCATTGGAGAGCTGCATGGTGATGTCTGCTGTGTTTTAATCAACCGTAAACTGGATCTTCATGGTAGACTACTCTTAATTACGTCATGATAGTAAGATGTTCTTAATTACATCTTGATATTAGATCGTACTTTATTAAGTTTAGATAGTAGATCATAATTGATCACATCTTAGTAGTGGGTTGATCTTGAACACGTCTAGATAGTAGGTCGTTCTTGATCACTTGATGGTAGATCATAGCTGACCACCTCTTCTTGGTAGGCAGTCCATAACACCTCTTAATGGTAGACAATCTGGATCACCCCCTTATGGTAAGCAGTCCTGGTCACCCCCGTAATGGTATAGACAACCTCTTCCTTCCATCTGATCTTGGAAAAAAACTTTCACGTATCGAATTTACTTCCTAAGCTTTTATATGTATAATATCGCTTGTTTTCTGAACAATCATTGATCAAATTACAAGTACTAAATTTTGCGATATTTTTTTGCAAATTACATTTTGTTTATACGTTCTGTTTCGGGGAATATTATTGTAATTCTTCGATCGTGGTTGGTTTAGTTGATATTTGTTATTGTTGTTATTAATAATATTGTTATCAATATTATTGTATTATAATTTGTATTGTAACTAGATATCAGTATGCATGAATCAGTATTATAATTTGTATTTGTTTACATTTTACGTATTGTAGTTAATGTTGAAATCGTTAATATTGTTGTTGTTCTTATTATTGTAGTTATTGTAGATATAGTTACTGTAGTTATCCTGTTTTAGTTAGTTTGCTTATTTTTTTTTACTGGTATTAATTTTGTTTTCGAGTTGTTGTTAAAATATATCTAAATAATTATTATGTTGTTGCCATGAACCTCAATTATATTATTATTCGTAATGATAATAGTTTACCTGTGTTGCTTGTTGATCACTGTTGTGTGTCCACATAGAGGAGAAAAACTAAAATAATATGAAGGCTTTCGTGATTTAACAAGTTTTCAGGGAATAGAGTTAACAGATAATAGTTGGATGTGGGCATATATAGCATATAACATATAGGGCATATATAGTACATAGCATATAGGACATATAACCCTCATATATGAGTAGATTGCGAAACATAAACATTACATAAGTGACATGTAAAATGGAATACTGGACGTGAGATGTAAATGTTGACCAAACCACACACTAGACGACGTTTCGGTCCGTCCTGGATTATTCTCAAGTCGATTGTGGTCCAGGACGAACCGAAACGTCGTCGTCCTTTCACTTTCTAGTGTGTGGTTTGGTCAACATATTTCAGCCACGTTATTGTGACTCCTCGTCCACGTGACATGTAAACAGAATAATGGGAATGGACCAATTGGAGTTTCATCCATGCTTATGGGAATTGAGATATCTACAGCTTTACCCATTCTTTCAATACTTGTATATCTATCATAAATCTTACCAGTTATTAGATATCTATAAAACTAATTCATACAGTCCTGAACTTCAATAAACCTCGTGGTTTCTTAATTTTCTGATGTGTGGTGTGGTATATTTTTTCACATTTATAAACTAAATATTTAAGACTAATTAAGAATAGTTTAATTCAGTTTTCCCCAAAATAATCTAGCTTCGTCCATTAAAGATGGGGCTAGATTATTAAGTTCTAATAAGAATATGTCCAAATTTGTATTCTTAGGCCATAAGAAAAACATGTCATCAATATAATAAAACCATGTGACATTAAAAGACAAAAAATTCTTCTTAATTGTTTGATTTCACTGAATACTATATATAGATTATTTATAATAAGAGAAGGAGGGTTATCCCTAGCTATTTCAAATTGTTTATAATTCATTATTAAAAACAAAGTTAATCTCAATAAAGCACAGTTTTATCAATTCAATTAATGTAGTTCTTGGAAAGAGCAAATCACACTTTAAAAGTTCATCAAAGAAAAATCGTAGTAAGACATCCATGGGGACTTTATTGAATAAAAAAGTAACAGCAAATCCAGTCAATTTGAAATATACAGAGGACTTTCTGTTTTCTTCAAAGTAAATAGTTACCTACGTGTGATTTAGGCAACCGTAGTGGGATGCATCTTGGAGAAAGTCAGTCAGGATCAGGACAGTAATTCATGAAGTCTTAGATCGTAATCTTTCCTTAGGAGACCCAGACTATTCAAAATCCTCCCTTACTCAAATCATAACAAATTAATGTATAATTTATATCATCAATTATACTTTTTTTTAACAATAGGAATTATTAGAATTCAGTTAATCTATAAGACAATTAGTGAAAGTAGTCACATGTGGTTATTTTACCCAAAAATTTAAGAGCAATCTGGAAAATTATTTATGTTACAACTATCATTTACGTTTAAATTCTTCAATTTTAATAAGAATCGTGAGCCTTCTACTGAGAAGCTAATTGAGAAAACCAAAGAACAAACCAAGTAAAATTTGCACGAATATCGTATCAGGCAAAGCAAAAAATACACTGATCTATCAAAACCAGGATCTTTTTTATCAGAGAGAGAGAGAGAGAGATGTCTACAGAAGCCCTTGATCAAAAATGAAGGATTCAATTTTCTTCCATAATATTGGTGAAAGAAAACGGATCAGAAGACGGTCCTTTAAGGTGTATCTTCAACCCATCCAACACCCCGTCCATTATTAACAAATTAAAAATAATAGGTTTAAAATTTTTATTTGGCCATTAAATCTAACAAACCCCTTTTTTTTAATAAACTCTGTCGAAGGACAGGCAGCCAAAGTGTATGTATATATGTTATGCTTATATCGAGGCCCCCCACGCCCCCCCTCCCAAAAAAAGGGCCAATCACAGACCCTCCCCAAGATGCTGCCCCATAACAAGCTGACTAATATAATTTTCATATATATTTGAATGTATTCCAGTCAGACCTTTTTCTATAAAATATGAGGAGTGGTTTCAATGAGTATAAGGTTGATAGAGAGGTGTCACTGGAAAGTGATCAGATCCACCTCTGGGAGTTGTCCAGGTGTTATGTAGTGTTGAGGATGTGCAGCTAGTCTACAACGATAAGATCTGGTCAGTCGGATCCGGTGGCTGTAATTAAAGCCTTTTTTTATATATACAAGAGTTGTTACATTCTTGTACAGCCACTAGTACGCGTAGCGTTTCGGGCAAGTCTTTAATCCTATGTTCCCTGGAATGCGACTCCCGCGAAGAATCGTTTTTACAACCAATTACCCATTTTACTGTTCAGTTAAACAGAGGCTACAGTTAAGGATTTGCGCCCAGTAAAAAAACCCCGGCCAGGATACGAACTCAGGACAAAGCGCTTGCGGAACGCCAGGCGAGCGTCTTACCACAACGCCACAGAGACTGCTATATTGATGGTATATTTAGTGGTGTTGTTGACCATGGCGATTAATGTTGTTGTGGTGGAATGCATTGATGCTGAGCACTGAGGTCTGCCATCAGAATGACAGGTATGTTAGTGGGATAGGTAGTTTGCCAAGGCTTAGAATTGTAATCTGTAATGTTTTTATTTCAATAACAAAGTGTTGATGTAGCCAGTCTAGACTCTAGAACGTATTGATCTACTTCAGTGCGTGGATGTGTTTGTTGTGTGTCAGGCAAAGGAATGTTAGCGTCTGGGGTTACTGGTGCCTGGAGTGGGGGCATATTATAGTTGACCGAGGGCGCGGGTCACACTGCTTTCTTAGTTTGCTGTAGTGTATGGTACCCAGGGATATTGCCTTGCGCGTTTTCTGTGTTAGCTGGAGACGTGCTGGCTGTTAGTTCAGGGAGGACTGTGAAGGATAAATTGTCAGGTAGTAGTAAATTAATATGCCTCTAAATTTACCTGAGGGCCATTATCTCTCTAGTGACCTCAATGGGGACAGGAAGTCAACGGCTTGTCAAAGTTGCCCTTTCCCCATTATTTCTAGGATTTTTGTTTTAAACTGGATTTTGAATCGATGTAATAATGTGTTGATATTGTCATCTTTGGCGGTCAGGCAATTCCATGGGTGTCTTTCCATACTGGGGGTACCCGTCTGCGCCCGGGTCTCTTCCCTCCCCCCTCTCTCTCTCTCTCTCTCTCTCTCTCTCTCTCTCTCTCTCTCTCTCTCTCTCTCTCTCTCTCTCTCTCTCTCTCTCTCTCTCTCTCTCTCTCTCTCTCTCTCTCCCCCACTCCCCACCCCTCTGTCATCTGTCTTTCAGTATCCCCCATCTCCTTCCCTTCTGAACTTTCTCCCACTCTCCCCCCCTCTCCTCTCTTCTTCCCCTCTCCTTCCATCTCCACCCACTCTTCCGCTCCCCCTACCACCCCCCACCCTCTCAACTTTTCTCTCCCCAATATCTTCCCTCAGACTTCTCTTGCTTCTCTCTACCCTTTCTCACAACTTTCTCCTCTCTTGCCTTTCTCACAACTTTCTCCTCTCTCATCACCCAGTGCTCTCCTCAACTCCCCATTCCCCTCTCCACCTAGCTGTTACCCCCTCTCTCTTTACCTCTCTTCAAACATTCCCCTCTCCCTTCTTCCTTTCCTCCCTTCCTGTCTCTGTCTTTGTCCTAGTCGACCCTGTTCCTCAGCAGGTCTGTCTGTCTATGTCTCTATTTCTTTCTTGGTATCTGTATCTGTCTGTGAAATATCCACAAAATATAATTGTTTCCCATTATTTTTGAGAACAGGTCAGGACTTGAGAAAGCATTTGAATTCAAATTCTGTTCAAATTCCATTGTCTTCCCCTTTCTCTCTCCCCTTATCTCCCCCCGCTACCACCTTTCTTCCCCCTATCTCTCACTCTCCTCTGCCCCCCAACCTACCCAGTCTTCCGAACAAATCCACAAGGGCCGTGACGAGGATTCGAACCTGCGTCCGAGAGCATCCCAGACCCTGCCTTAATGTTGCGATGCATCATGTGATGCATCACGCAATTGTGATTTCTGTGTGTCCCCACTCTTCTTCCCTTTCCCCGCACAATCTTTTCTTAGTACTGCTATTATATCTTTGCAAAGAGACGTTTTTCATACAAATATGTTGGCAGCTCGAGGAGTCTCGGCATCTAGGCCGGAGTTATGGAAGCCCCAGATAGAGTTGAGGAGGACGAGGCGGAGACTCCCTCAAGTGGCTTGGGCACAGAGAGCTGTGCTACGCTCTCTTTCCCTACGCTGGGAGACCACCACCGAACAGGGAACTTTCTTTTTTGTTTTCATGTCGGTCTTTGCAACTGATACTCTTCATCACCCTGGCTCTATGCCACTATTCAGTGTGTCTACTCACCTAATTGTACTCATCTAATTGTGCTTGCGGGTGTTGAGCTCTGGCTCTTTGGTATTTTATTTATTTGTGTTTATTTATTTATTATATTTTATTTACTATTTGTGTCTGCAGGGTCGAGCTATTAGCTCTTGGATACCGCCTTTCTAACCAATCTATTTTTCCTCTATTATATCTGCTAGCCGTATACTCCAGGTTTGGTCAGACATACGTGATATCACGTATGGACGTACGTGATATCACGTATTACAGAACTTTGTAAGGAATCACAAGGTTCTGTGATTCCTTACTCAAATGTCTAAAGGCAGGTCTCATGTCAGCCAGCCTCGCATACACCACTGATGATATCCTTTTGATGTGGGCTTCAAGGGACTGGTTTGATATTTGTGTGAATATGTATTTACTATTTATGCCTGCCAGATCGAGCTGTTAGTTCATAGTCTCCGCCTTTCTAGCTGTCGGTTGTCTAATGCACTGACTCCCAACCAGTTAATTTTCCTCTATCATATCTGCAACATATTTTTCTCTCTAACTCACACACACACACACACACACACTTCCCCAGGAAGCAACCCGTAGCAACTTTCTAACTCCCAGGTACCTATTTACTGCTAGATGAACAGAGGCACCAGGGTGAAAGAAACTCTACCCATTTGTTTATGTCTCTGCCGGGGATCGAACCCGTACAACGACCCAACCTTAGGACTACGACCCCAGGGTCGTCCACTCAGCCGCGTGGCTCCAAGGGTGTGTGTGTATTCACCTAGTTGTATTCACCTAGTTGTGCTTGCGTGGGTTGAGCTCTGCTTTTTCGGCCCGCCTCTTAGCTGTCAATCATTCAACTGTAACTACTAACTGTGTGTGTGTGTTTGTATGTGAGGGAGAGAAAGATAGAGCGAATAAAGACTACAGCAAAAGATCTAGTAAGATACAGAGAGAGAGAGTTAGCGAATGAAAGATACAGAAAGAGACAGAAGGGAATTGAGTTCATGTATATCAACTTTATCCTTACGTGTATATACGAAGACTCATATATTTTCCAGAATAAAGCCAGTTTCTCTACAATCAGCACGCGAATTACACCACACATTTGATATGCGTTAAAGAAGTCGAACAAACAGCTTGAAAACAATGTTATTCCAACATAATTTCTCCACACCTCTACTGCCTACTGGCGGAGAGGTGCCTACCAACCGAGCCAGCCTACTGACCGAGCCAGAGTCACATGCCCACTGACGTAAGCTGGGTATGTGGGATACCAGGAGGGCGCGTTAAGAGCCTCAGTCACGAGGTATCCACTGAGCAGTCGCCATGGCCAGGACCTACAAGGTAAGGCAGACTCCCCCTGCATGTAGGGAAGGATCTTGTGTGGACGGCTTCTCGCAACTGCTTTGCCCCTTCTGGTATGCCTAACGTATAGTATCTTGCAGTGACTTATCAAAATTCACTGTACACACTTATATATTTATATATACTCAGTCATAGATATTCACTGAGCACTTTCGGCTACTTTTCCATAAGCGTTCACTAAGCGACAATGCAGGCAAGTTGTGCTGGAAAGCAGCTATATAAGGGACAAGAGCGAGGGACCGGACATGGTTCGTAGGTCACAGGAACCTATTCCTGTGACCTATTTCAAGATGCCATCCCGCGTGTGACGCCCCGCCAAGGAGGAGATGAAAGATGTCAGGGATGTCAGGAGCAAGAACGAAATAAATGAAACAAATCATATTATTATTAAATCATATTATTTAATAATTTATAATTCACTGAGTCGGGGGACAGGCAGACAGAGTGTGTTTATACACGTTTGGATTATATCGAGGCGTCTCTTCTCCCTCAGAGGTCGAATTACTGCCCAAAGGATGCAACCCCACAACAGGCTGACTAACTCCTGGGTACGAACTTGCTGCTCGGGAGCCGGTCGGCCGAGCGGACAGCACGCTGGACTTGTGATCCTGTGGTCCTGGGTTCGATCCCAGGCGCCGGCGAGAAACAATGGGCAGAGTTTCTTTCTCCCTATGCCCCTGTTACCTAGCAGTAAAATAGGTACCTCGGTGTTAGTCAGCTGTCACGGGCTGCTTCCTGGGGGTGGAGGCCTGGTCGAGGACCTGGCCGCGGGGACACTAAAAGCCCCGAAATCATCTCAAGATAACCTCAAGATAGGTGTAGTAACCCGGAATTCTCCATTGTGAATCTAGACTGAACCCGACTGAACTACCGATTATTTAATTATGTAAAGTAGGGAACATTATAGATTTATTTCGAAAGCAAAAAATAAAGCATCCAGTTGATTTTCCTATATTCAGTGTGACTATATATATATAAACCGAGTAATCGTCTTTCAGGTATGGATTGTTATAGCTGTGGTCCTGTTGACCTTAAACCTGGTCTATTCATTCAGCATCTACGACTTACTCTTCCCCCGGCCCAGGTTTCCTTCAAGAGAAAATGTGAAGGTGAGTCTTTTTCTTCTTCATTGGTACATGCGGTTTGCGAGACGGTGTTCTGCTCCCTGTGAATGATAGAGTGTGATGATGTTGGGAGACGCGTCACAGTGCAGCGTTAATGTTTATGATATGACACGGCTTGAATGTTGTTCTTGTAGTAGCCATTTGGTGTTAGACATGTTTTAGTGTTAGACAATAGAGGAAGAAGCATTGCATATCAAACAAAACCACCACATTCATTATCAATAGTCAGCTAACACTCGATTTACTTACTCTGTGTCATCTTCGATCTACATAGACGAGACATCCAACATTCTGCCCCCAACCGTCATTGAAACTTGGAAATTTATAAGCTGTAGTGGACCTATTGATCCGTAATGAGGTGCTTCATCTCTCGTTTACATATTCGGCTGTTCCAACCAAATTGAATATGTATTTGTACCCTGCCCTTATTATTACCATCTTTATTGATAAAAATTAATTACAATTTAATTTGTAATTTACCTCTGTCCTTGAAAATGTTGACACTGTCAACGGAATTCATCTCTTAACATCAAGCCATAAAAAAACTGAAAAATGATGTGGGGAGAGTTAATTTTTTATACTTCCTTCTCAAGTGAAGAAAAATATATAAGGAAAATGCAAAAGATTCGTGCTAGAATCACTATTCTGACCCTTTCTGCCATATACAATAACATACTAAAAATCCCTATATTAATAATTAAGAAACTTACTCGTCGCAGAAACGTCTCCGGATGATGCTGCCATTGGACGAGTCGAACACGTGGAATGGCTACGACGACGAGGGATTCACCAGGTGAGCCAACCTTTACTGAAAGCTATTGTTGCTTCATGATCTTCCCCTCTTTACCCCCGGAGTTGACCTACACTTTACTACTCTTTTTCATCCTTGAAAGTGACCCAAACTTAGAATTATTCATTATCAACCCTCAGTGCATTCTGACGCTATCTTGACCAGTTGAATATTATTCAAGCTCGCTAAACAAATGTATCTGGTTGATACCTGGTTGATACCTGGTTACCTGGATGGGGTTCTGGGAGTTCTTCTACTCCCCAAGCCCGGCCCGAGGCCAGGCTCGACTTGTGAGAGTTTGGTCCACCAGGCTGTTACTTGGAGCGGCCCGCAGGCCCACATACCCACCACAGCCCGGTTGGTCCGGCACTCCTTGGAGGAATAAATCTAGTTTTCCTCTTGAAAATGTCCAATGAAAATATCCATTCTCAAGGTGAATTGTGCTTTGCAACGTGAGATTGTCAACACTATCATGGGTGGATAAAATGTGTTTGTGTGTAACTATTACCGGTCTGTGTAAGCCAGGTAGTCAGGGTTTCAGACAGGTGTGTGAATTGTGTAGCGAGATGTAGATGATGTGTAATGTTACTGCTACATAGAGGCTGCCACCTGTGGAGTCATTATTCAAACAAAAAGGCCAATTTTTCCCGTATTTTCTGCATATTTAATGCAGAAAATAATTTCAGTCCTCTCCCTTTCTCTTCCCCCCTCCCCCTTCCCAATCCCGCCTTTTTTTCCTCTGCTTGCAACTTTTTCACCAACTCTATTTTGCCCCCATTGTCCCGCTTTCCAACCTTGGAAAGACAAACACTCAAACACTCAGTTTTATAGATGTAGACATTCCTGTGAACATCCATAATCATTACTCGTGATAATACATAGTTATGCATTAATAACGCTGGAGACTAAAACAGTAAGAAACACTTCCCTCTCTTCATTTACTACAGGAATGGACGCAGTCTCAAACACTCGAATCTTGGCTTGGACATATCACAGGCCATGTGGCCTTGGCCTCTTGACTTCGCTGCTGAGAGAGGCCGGCAGGTTAGTGCCTAGTATGATATCGTTATTTCTAAGATATCCTAAAGTGACTAGTTTGGTGTCATGTGTATTGCGACGTTAATACCGTTCAACGACATGTGTTTAACATTTGTTTAATCCCTCGTTTCCTACAGATGTGAGGAGTGTGAAAGCTGGTCAATCCGTCATCTCAAGCAACAGGTCGCATTTTATACGTTGCGGTAAAGAACGTTACAAATGCAACCTACCATGACAAGTAACGGCTCACAAATATCAACGTTTCCCCATGCAACGGACTCGAAAGGTTAGGTGGGTTGCTGGGGTTCGTGCGTTTCAGGTTAGTTCAGGAGGTGGGATTTCTGACGCAGTGGCACACCAGGAGACCGGGCCGCGCGAAGACCACCTCGAGTCAAGAACACGAAACCATTCCTTTATAGTCTGGGTCTGTGACCATCTCGAGGAACAGGCTTGAACGACTCCGGCCGCTGGTCATCTTTAACCGTGTTTTGATGGTAGGTCGTCCTTGAACATAGGTAGTAGGTCATTCTTGACCATAGGTCGGAAGTTATCCTTGACCATATTTTGGTAGGTCGTCCTCTACCACTTGTACAGCTTAATGGGGTTAAAAGGGTAATCTATTTTTTCAATTTTTTCGGATAGAAATACAACTAATTTTGCTACATTTTATTGAGTGGTGCACTTTAGAATTGCTTATCAAACACTTTAAGCATTTACGATATTTAGTGTATTGTATTTTACTTCTGAATGCTTATTGTATCATTATTTTTCTATTGTTTTAGTTAAGATTGTAGCTTGTATTGTGAATGTTGTCTCTGTTATTTATTGTTGTAATTATTACTGTTGAAATTTATATAGTTTTGTTATTATTTATTTATTTTTCTTAATTTAAATTTTATTAATATTGTTGCTAATAGTAAATTTGATTTAACAAATATTGTTTTTAACACTTGGTTTTAATATTGTCATCACTTTCAACTGAATTAATTGATGTTTATTAACAAAGTGTGTCAGGTTAGATACCTCAGGGACCACTTTCGGACCAGACATTTCTTGGTCTACACAAATGACATAGTTAATACAATATACAGTTTCACCGATTGAAACAGACAAGGAAACAATGTTAGAACACCAATAGAGCAAAAAAAGAGTGTGATACTACACCCAGCCAACTTGCCCGTGACCCAAGTTGGCCTCTCCACTAGAGGCCAAGTTGGTGTGTGGCCTCTCCACTAGAAGCCAAGTTGGTGTGTGGCCTCTCCACTAGAGGCCAAGTTGGTGTGTGGCCTCTCCACTAGAGGCCAATACACAGTTTAGCAGCCCAACCACTTGGGCTGGACGGTAGAGCGACGATCTCGCTTCATGCAGGTCGGCGTTCAATCCCCGACCGTCCAAGTGTTTGGGCACCATTTCTCCTCACCGTCCCATCCCAAATCCTTATCCTGACCTCCTTCCCAGTGCTATATAGTCGTAATGGCTTGACGCTTTCCCCTTGATAAACTCTTTCCTTCCTGCCTTCTCACCAATGTGTTGAAATGTTTGGGATCCCAGCAGGCAGGCAGGCAGGACTCCTCAAGCCTACAGCCATAACTAATCCGGAACGAGATTTAAGTAGAGTTTGTATCAAAAACAAATCTAACTGGAAGGTTGGCTTTCAGACGTCTAGCGAGGTAAATGGTAGAAATTCCCACTTCCCTCTGAGAGGAAGCAGCTGTTAACTGGCATCAACAGTCACAAGAAACTTTCCCACTAACTTGAACTCTCCTGCGTGAAGACTTCACACAAGCAGTAGGTTGAAGGAAGGAAGGAATTGTCTGGAAAGCGCCAAGCCATGACGACTATATAGCACTGGGAAGGGATCAGGATAAGGATTTGGGATGGGACGGGGAGGGAAGGACTGGTGCCCAACCACTTGGACGGTCGGGGATTGAACGCCGACCTGCATGAAGCGAGACCGTCGCTCTACCGTCCAGCCCAAGTAGTTCAAGTTGAGATGAGGGATAAAAGGTGGTAAGCAAGGCCCTCGTAGCTCAGACGCTTAACATCCCACATAAAAGTCTAACTGTTATTAGTCCGGCCAGAGGGTAGAGTTTATTACCAACGCGAGGTGTTCAGCCTTTGCCAATGCAAGTCGTGATGATTTCACTTGTGGAGAGAATGTTGATTAGGTTTATGTACGTTAGAGTTACGAATCTTTTATGCAGAGAAGTGTAGTAGTGCATGATGTTATCAGTGAAATTACTGGTTCAAAATGAACTTTGTAAAACCTAAAGTGATCCGGATTATTTCACATTCGGATTTATACATTTCCGGAATAACACATTATACAAGTCAATACAAGAATTCTTTAAAGATGAGACGATGGAAAAATTAGTTAACTTCCTTATGACCCCAGACGATAAGTGCCCCGGGCAACCTGTCAATTCGGAACGTGGAAGAGGAGTGCCTAACGGCAGCATCGGGTTCCCGCGGGTCACAGGTTCAGAAGATCTCCAAACGTCTTCCTGAGCAGATCATCTGTCACGACAAAAGTCTTCCTTCGGGGAATGTCTGAAGTTTCACAGCGACTCTTCGGAGTGACCCGCTAGAGGTGGTTCGCTATATGGACTTGGGGTGAGCGTGGATGCCATTCGTGGACGACCTTTGCATACTAAGGCCCTTTACTCACACTAGGAATAAACACATTGTAATTTTTTCTCTCGGTGTATGTCTGAACTTCCTTGATCTTTCCTGAGTTTAAAATAGAACTTGTCTAGCTGCTTCTCTTCACTCGATACGGGACTCCATTTTGGGTTTTGAACAGTCGTTGTTTAGTTATGATCTTATCTGCCACCTGTTTAAAAACTATTCAAATTAAACGTTTTATTTAGGTGAAAAATATTAAAATATTTTGCTCTTTTCCTCTGGATTATTTTTACTTTATGAACATATTGTGAATCAAATGTTTTTGTGTATGCGTTTGTATGAGCGTGTGGGTGTGTGTGTGTGTGTGTGTGTGTGTGTAAGTGTGTGTGTATGTGTGTGTGTGTGTGTGTGTGTGTGTGTGTGTGTGTGTGTGTGTGTAGGTTTGTGCATGCGTGTGTGTGTTTGTGCATGTGAGTGTGTGTTTTGTGTTAATGTGTTTTGGAATGTGTTTATGTGTGTCTGTGAATGCATATGTGTGCTTTTAAGTGTCTATGTACTCACCTATTTGTGTTCAGTAATGTATGACTTCACGACCAAAATTTAACGCTTGGATCCCCGTCTTTGCAGCCACCACGAACCAAATATTTTGCAATCAAATCTATTTTGGAAATTATGAATATTTTTTCGGTTTTCCAACCTGCTCCTTTATTTTCAATTTCTCTATTTGTCAATGAGATTCCGCCTTTATTGGCCATCAGCATCTTTGCTCCCAGGAGAGGAGAGAGATGAGCTGCTCTGTGGGTTATCTTAAGACTGTGGTGGATGCTGGCAGCCATTATCAACCACAGAACATTTATGCCCATCTTTTATGACAGAGATTTATGACGGAAATCTGCATTGCTTTGCTTCCCAAGTTCCCTGCGTCTCTTGTATAGCATGAGCTCTAGTGTTTGTAGGCATGACATGCGCTCTAGTGCTTGTCGATATGGCATGCGCTCTAGTGCTTGTCGATCGATATGGCATGCACTCTAGTGCTTGTCGATATGGCATGCACTCTAGTGCTTGTCGATATGGCATGCACTCTAGTGCTTGTCGATATGGCATGCGCTCTAGTGCTTGTCAGTGTGACTCACACTAATGCTTGGCAGTATGCCACACAGTCTTACGGCCCAGCAATGCAAGGCTCAGCATATGAAGGAGGCAAAAGTATATAATCCGACGAATTTCAGTTATATGACCTGATCGCGTTGGGTTACTAACTTGACGCACATCTGTTAGAAACTACATCTGTTTACATTTATATTTTCTTGAATATATTTATATTTAAAATACATTAAAGCGGATGATGCTGCCTGACTGGACAGCGGGAGCCTCCTATTACAAATGGCCAGGTTTTATAAAAAAAACATTCGGGCAATACATGTCAGTATGTTTAACTTGAATTTACCTGAGGGAGCCACCATCTCTCTAGTGACCTCGACGGGGACAGAAAGCCAGGTGGGGGGTGAGGGGGTGGTCAAACGTCCATGTTAAAGTTTCTGGGGATTTTTGTCCAACTGGATTTTTGAACTGCTCATGGTATAAAAAGAGACAGTGGTCAATACCTGTCAATATGTAGGAACATTGATGGTATATGAAGAGAGAGAGATCGGTCAATACCGATCAGTATGTAGGAGCCTCTATGATATATGAAGAGAGAGAGAGAGAGATTGGTCAATACATGTCAGTATGTACGCGTCAGTATGTCTTGTTGTGTATGCCAGGGGCGTGAATGTCCTTCTTTCATCTCATAACATGTGAGTCACGTCCGTCGTGGTGGGGTCCATCTCTCCACCTCTCACATGACTCAAGAGTCTGGTTCTGCTTCCTGGGATATCTCTCACTCATTTAGCTAAACAATTGACAATCTTTTGAAGCTAGTTACACATATTTATATTTAAATATATTAAACCGGATGATGCAGCCACTCTGGACAGTACATAACCTTTAAGCACTCACTGTATATATTGTAACCTTTATATATATAATAAAGCACAAAAAAGGAAGGGGTGGTAGGAGGAGAAAAGCACACAGAAACTGTATTGGAGGGGACCTAAACATTCCCTCTAATGTGTTATGTGTGGTTTCCTCCGAGGCTAAGGGTCCCCCTTCTTCCAGCCAAAGGTGGTACTCTTTTTCTTTTATATACAATAAATTAAATACAATAATTTACACAAATACAAATTTATATCAGTAATCGTTTTTATCACAAGTGATTCAACAAGAGACTCGCAACAGTCACTATACAAGACACTTTACATCTATGGTGAGTCACACAGTTACTAGTCTTGCTCCACACCCACCCAACTGGGCAGCAGCTTTAGTCATGTGCTCCACACCCACCCAACTGGGCAGCAGCTTTAGTCATGTGCTCCACACCCACCCAACTGGGCAGCAGCTTTAGTCATGTGCTCCACACCCACCCAACTGGGCAGCAGCTTTAGTCATGTGCATGCATTATCTACAATAAGCAAATTTTGGATGCTTTGTTAAGATTCCTGGCAGTACATCATTATGAATGAAGTAAATACACATTTCTTGGGCTCCATTGATGGTGCAATCTCTGAATTCCACTTTTTTCACATTCCGTTATGTAATGAGGCAAAGTATGCGAATAGTTCTGCTGACAGAGTTTACATTTAGTCAAATCTACATCAGCAGATGTTGCAAACCCCCAGAGGTACTTGTAGCCGAGCCTAAGCCTAGCTGTGGTAACATCTAGAAGTCTACTAACTTTATTGGATGACCCATAGACGTACGGTACTTCCTGCATAATAGAATGATGATAGATGGAGTAGTGTGAATTTCACTTTGCCTCAAGTCTACGAGATTTTGTTGATGTTCCCGGAATATTACTGCCCTCTGGCTGCTCAAAGGCAGTCAAAGATTGTAATGAATTCTCTCTCTATGAGCAAAAGTTTTGACTAATTCATCAGTTCTATCATGAATTCGGAGACCAATATGAGAAGGAATCCACAGGAGACAAACTCTGACTCCATCATTGATTATTTCATTATATCTGTGACTAGCTTCAGACACAAGCACGTCACAGTTATGCCCTGGGAAGCTGTCACATATGAAAACATATTTGTTAAATACCTACGTAAATTGGTCAATTAACCCATAAACGAATAACATCAGACCCGTACTTGTGTCTTGACATGCCCCACAGGGTCCAGCACAAGCTTTATCCGTCCAAACCCAAATACCAGATTAAACCTACAAGCACCAATGGCAGCCACCCGGACTTACTGTACTCTCGCAGCCAACTAGGCAGCGCTGG